ACAGAGGATTGTGGGAAGAATTCCTCGCCCATCAGGAGCAGGGAGAGAGCGTGGGCTGGTGTTCCCTGCCAAGGAAACCCTGTGGCCCACGTGGTGAGGTGGGGGCGAGGTTGAGGGTGTGTGCGTGTGCGTGTACCAGGGCAGCAGAGAAACCGCGCCTTCCGCCGTCCCAGGCTAAAACCCAGGGCTGGAGAGGCTGTGGACCAGGGGTGGTTCACACAGGGCTGAGGGGCCCTGTTGGCATGGCTCAGTGGTTAGAGCATCAGCCCACACACCAAAGAATCCTGGGTTCAGTTCCTGGTCAAGGGCACATACCTTGGTTACAGGTTTGATCCCTGCCCTAGGTGGGGTGTGTGTGGGAGGCAATCAATTGATGTGTCTCTCACATTGATGTGTCTCTCTCTATCTCCCTTCCACTCTCTCTAAAAATCTACGGGAAATATCCTTAGATGAGGATTAACCGAACAGATCCCGGGAATTCCTTCAGGTAAAGGTCATGACCGAGGACACCATCCCAGGTCACAGGCCTTGCTTTGCCGGCGCCAGCCTGTGGGAGGGCTGGGTCTAACTGGGCGAGGAGCAGACGGGGAGGCAGGTGGGGCGGTGTCTGAGCCAGACGCCTTCTGGAAGGAGAGGGGGAGGCAGAGCCCAGTCCCCAGGAAGTGTCGGAGGAAGGACAACATTCCGGGATTTTCTCGATGAAATGAGAAGTCGGAACAGATGGCCATTGTCCGGCTCCACGGGGAAACCAGGGTGACCTCGGGGCGGGTGTAAAGGGCACACCTGTTCCCGCAGCAGCTGAGAGCAGAGCCTGCCTGGAGGCCTTGTGAGCACAGCTGGGCCTGCAGAGCAGAGGGCAACTGGGGGGAGGGGCCCTGGGCTAGGGACAGCCCCCTGCTGTGCAGGCTGGAGGGACCCCAGGTATGGCCTCCTCAGGCCTGTTTACCGTGCAGCTGACACACTTTCCAACAGTTCTGTTTCTGTTTGTTGGATTGGGGTTTCAACTCTCTCTTCCAACAAACATCCCCCAGAGACAGACGAGGCTTTTACCTGGCTGCTGCCCCCTCAACCCGGGTCTTCACAGGACCTGGAGCCCACACACTCGGGAGTGACACGGTTCAGGCTAAGGCTGTGCCCCGAGCATCGCACACCTCCCTCCGGGATGTCATGGCTGGATCCCCGGTGTGGGGCATGCGAGAGGCAGCCAGCCCATCGGTGATTCTCTCAGCACTGATGTTTCTCCCTCTTCCTCTCCCTCTCCCTTCCATGAAAAGAAGGGGAGTCTTGGGCTGCAGTCTCCCAGCACCTTCCCAGGGCATGAGGGAAGGGTCCGTGCAGGCTCAGCGCCGACCATAACATCAGACCCCTCGGCCGTCCCATTCGCCTGCCCCCGACTTCTCTATGCGGCTCTTGGGAGTGGATGTCCAGCCCACCCCGTCTGCTAGCAGCTCCCAAGCCTACATCTCGGCTGCTGGCCCTGCACTTGTCTGGGTCCACAGCTGCTTGGATGTCTCCCCTGGGCATCCAGCCAGCTCCTCAGATTTAAGATGCCGGCACTGAGAGGCCCTATTCATGCCGGATTTGCCACAAGGCGGCCACAACAGGTGCTTAAGGCCACCGAGAAGGAATGTACTTCCAGGGAAAATTTTTAATATTCCAAAAATGCATCAAAGCAGCTCCTTCTGTAGTGTATAGTTTATTGTGACTTTTGCGGGCGGGGGGCACATCACATTCGCAGCATCGGGCCCTCTACGGTCTCAATTCAGAGTTCCCTACCACCATCTCCAATAAGAACTCATACTGGCCCGACCAGCATAGCTCAGTGGTTGAGTGCTGGCCTATGAAGGAGGTGGTCACAGTTCGATTCTCGGTCAGGGCACAGGACTGTGTTGTGGGCTCGATCCCCAGGGGCAGGTGTGCAGGAGGCAGCCAATCAATGATGCTCTCTCATTGTGGATGTTTCTCTCTCTCTCTTTTCCTCTTTCTTCCTCTCTGAAATCAATAAAAAAATTTTAAAAAACGCATTAAAAAAAACAACTCATCTTTCTTGAACAGCCTTGGGGGCTGGACACTCACAGCATCCTGTCTCTTATCCCCATGTTGGGTTTTTAAATCTTGACTCTTCTCCTTGACCCCTGAACCCCACATTCTCCTTCCCTCTCTCCGCCAGCCACTTCCAGTCCTGCCTCCTCCCTGAGCGCACCCTCGCTGTCCTGGGTCAAGGTCACCTCCTGGGAACACAAGGGAGGCATCGCACTCCACGTACACAGCTCCAGGGGCTCCCCCTTGGCTCCAGTCCCAGCTCCCTCCCACCTACAAATCAGCCCCCTCGCCGCCCCCAGCCCGTCTAGCCACCTTCCACTCTGCTGTTCAGCACCCCCTCCCCTCACAGATCCCGGGCTCCAGCCAAACTAGACTTCCAGCCATCTGGGAACAAATGTTCCCTCTGCCCCAAATAAGCTACATCCATCTCCACCTGTTGAGATCTGTCCTTGGGGAGGGTTACCCGATAAATAGTACTGGGACAATTGGTCCTTTGAAAGAAATGTTTTAGATTCTTCAGTTCATACCACACACACCAAAATACATCCCAGCAAAATTAGAGTTAAATATAAAATATAAATACATGATATAATCACATATATTTCCAAAACCAAACTAAAAGTTCTGAAAAAAAACACACCACATTATTAGATTATTGAGTATTACGGGAGGGTATTAGATCCTAAGTGTACAAGGAAAGAACGAAACTTCAACGGAAACAAAGCAATTGTTGACCTTAAACAAACCGCCAGCTATTTCGCCAGCAAATGGGTTTATTGGGAACAAACGTGGGTATGCAGTCCGATGGCAGGTGAACCAGGGTTAAACCTGGAGAGCAGAGGAAAGGACCATCCTCTGAGGCGCGGTGGGTGGTGGGTGTGCCGAGGGGCTGCTGTAAAGAATGCACTGGTGGGCCCTAACCGGTTTGGCTTAGTGGATACAGCATTGGCCTGTAGACTCAAGGGTCTCGGGTTCGATTCTGGTCAAGGGCATGGACCTTGGTTGTGGGCACATCCCCAGTGGGGGGTGTGCAGGAGGCAGCTGATTGATGTTTCTCTCTCATTGATGTTTCTAACTCTCTATCCGTCTCCCTTCCTCTCTGTAAAAAAATCAATAAAATATATTTAAAAAAAAAATAAAGAAGAAGAATGCACTGGTGGAAACGGGAGTTCGGAGTGTAGTGGCCTTCCATCTGCTGAGCAGTAACCATGGCTGGTGAGGAGCCCCCCTCCTTCCTGTTGGAGATGGAGGTGGTATCTTCCGGTTCAGGGTAACTGATGGATGGTAGTGTAAGATCTCCCCACCGGCTCTCCCCATTCCAACTTAAAGGAGGCCTCTGTTCACTCATCTTCACACAGTGACTCTAACTCTACCTTAGAACTTGACTGTGAAAACCAAACTGGTAAGGTATGAACAGGGGGCCCTAGCCGGTGTGGCTCAGTGGATGGAGTGCCGGTCTGCAGATTCAAGGGTCCCAGGTCCGATTCCAGTCAGGGGCATGTGCCTGAGTTGTGGGCACATCCCCAGTGGGGAGTGTTCGGGAGGCAGCTGATGTTTCTAACTCTATCCCTTTCTGTAAAAAAATAAATAAAATATATTTAAAAAGTAAAATAAAGGAACAGGGGGACAGAGCATCCTTCCCATGTTGGGGTCCCCATGAGGGAAGGGTTTGGTTGGCTGTGTGGGCATCTTCCAGGAAGGTGGGCGATGCCTGAGGTCACATTCCTTCCCAAGGGGTTCAAAATGCAAATCCTCGCCGAGACTGGCATGTCCAGGGCCCCAGACTTTTGTCTCCCCTGGATCCTGGGTGTGTCGCTGGGAGCTACTATTCTAACTTTGTCTGAATGTGCATGTTTTTCCACCCGAGACGGGTCTTGTGCGATGTCATGACACGGTTTGAGGAGGCACCTCTCACACCCTCCCGCTCGTGAACTGGGTCTTCTTTATGAAACAGCAGCCGCGGCGACTAATACTTAGCGCTTCCTTTGTGGCAGTTTGCGTGTTTTATATACTTTGTTTCGTTTATCGACTACAAAACACAGTCCACTAGGAATTCCATCACCAAGAAGGATTTACTTGAGAAAAAGAAAGGAATGCAATCCAGTGCGCGGCCCGGGGTGAGCCACCAGGAGGAGAAGAGAAGGAAGCAGGGGGCGCCTCCCACCCAGGGGAGGGGGAGCAGCCACGGGTTCCGGGGCAGGTCACCTTCTCTGCCACAAACTGCACCCCAAGTAGCTCTTACACCCACCCCGGAGACTGGCACGATTCTCCCCATCTAACCGGAGGGAGGCAGGCTCAGTGCTCTGCCCGCGCTCTCAGGCTGGCGTGGGGTGCAGAGCCGGGCCGCGCGCCGCACGCAGCGTGGGTCCTTCTGCGCCAACATGGGGTCCCTCCCGGCGCAGGCCCGGGCCCTGTTTCCCTGCGTCCAGGTGACGCTACGCTCCCACGGACGTCCCGGGTGCGAGGGCTCCGGGGACCAGAGCGGCGTCCCCGTCACCAGTCCCCGCGGGCGGTTCCCGGCGGGCGGGCCCGGATTGGCGGCGGGCGCAGCGCAGACGAGCCCCCGGCCGCCCATTTGTCCAAACTCGCGCGCTCACCGGAGCGCACACGCCGCGAGTCCGGGCCCGAACGTGCCAGCCGTGCCACTCGGGACGGTCCCTCACCTTCACGGTCCCGGCCCTCGCCTCTCGTTACGTCACTTCTCCGCGCCCCGCCGCCGCCGCCGCGGCGCGCGCGCGGCGCTTCCGGCCGCGAGGACACGGTGGGCGTGGCGGGCGGCGTCAGGCGCGCGCGCGCCGGAAGCCAGCGCGGACGAGGCGGAAGTGGCGGGGCGGGGCGCGGGGGCGGTGGGGGGCGGCGGCCGGCGATGAGCGGCCGGAGAGAGTGAGCGGGCCGGCGGCGAGGCCGGGGGCCGCGGAGAGCGAGCCGCAGGGCGGAGCGCAGGGGCGCGAGCGCGGCGGGCCGCGGGCGGCGGCCAGGGCGCGGCGGCGGCGGCGGCGGCGGCCAGGGCGCGGCGGCCGAGAAGATGGCGGACGGCGACAGCGGCAGCGAGCGCGGCGGCGGCGGCAGCGGCGGCGGCGGCGGGCCCGGCGGCTTCCAGCCCGCGTCCCGCGGCGGCGGCGAGCAGGAGACGCAGGAGCTGGCGTCCAAGCGGCTGGACATCCAGAACAAGCGCTTCTACCTGGACGTGAAGCAGAACGCCAAGGGCCGCTTCCTCAAGATCGCCGAGGTGGGCGCGGGCGGCTCCAAGAGCCGCCTCACGCTGTCCATGGCCGTGGCCGCCGAGTTCCGCGACTACCTGGGCGACTTCATCGAGCACTACGCGCAGCTGGGCCCCAGCAGCCCCGAGCAGGTGGCGGCGGCGGCGGCGGCCGAGGAGGGCGGCGGGCCGCGGCGCGCGCTCAAGAGCGAGTTCCTGGTGCGCGAGAACCGCAAGTACTACCTGGACCTCAAGGAGAACCAGCGCGGCCGCTTCCTGCGCATCCGCCAGACCGTGACGCGCGGCGGCGGCCCGGCGCCCGGCGGCCTGCAGAGCGGCCAGACGATCGCGCTGCCCGCGCAGGGCCTCATCGAGTTCCGCGACGCGCTGGCCAAGCTCATCGACGACTACGGCGGCGACGACGACGAGCTGGCGGGCGGCGCGGGCGGCGGCGCGGGCGGCCCCGGCGGCGGCCAGTACGGGGAGCTCCCGGAGGGCACCTCCATCACGGTGGACTCGAAGCGCTTCTTCTTCGACGTGGGCTGCAACAAGTACGGCGTGTTCCTGCGCGTGAGCGAGGTGAAGCCGTCCTACCGCAACGCCATCACCGTCCCCTTCAAGGCCTGGGGCAAGTTCGGCGGCGCCTTCTGCCGGTATGCGGATGAGATGAAGGAGATCCAGGAGCGCCAGAGGGATAAGCTTTACGAGCGACGCGGCGGGGGCAGCGGCGGCGGGGACGAGTCCGAGGGCGAGGAGGTGGACGAGGATTGAAACGCGCAGCATCCCCTACGGGCCTCCAACCCCACTCCCGCCCCCCTCATCTGAAGAGCTCTCTTTCCTTCTCATCCCCAGTGAGCTAGTGGGGGAGCTAGGGAGGCCCCCAGGAAGAAAACAGCATTTAAAATAATGTAGTCCATTAAGAGAAATAACCATAAGAGAACAGTCACGGGCAATTAGAGAAAAAAAAAAAAGCAGTAAAGTTACAAGGAGCTGACAGCAACCTGCAAGAACAGCGTCTCCTCACCTGAGCAAACTAGGCCCAGCTTCTGTGGTTTCCCAGCCGAGGTCCCTAAACCCCTCAGGATAGCCCTGGTGGGGGATAGGTCCTTCCACATCGTGGGCCAAGGAACACTTCTGAGCTACCCAGACCTCGTGGTAACAGCTGTGAACTTGTGTTGTACTTGGGAACCTAGAGATCTCTCCAGACCTTCTATTGCAGTGTCTGTTCCTCCACCTCCATTGAAATCAGCATTTTGGATTTAGATCTTCATGGAATTCTTGAGAAGAGAGAGACCTTTGCAGTTACCCAGTTCTGAGGGTACAGGCCTAATGAAAAGGAATGCAACTTTAATCATGGACAGAACAAAATACGAATTCAAAAAGTCACCAGGGAATACAGAAACAAATTGGATCCATTTTGTTTAAGATGGTTTTGCACCACATCTGGACCAAGGCCAATGTCTTTGCAGAATTGTCTTCCAGGATGCAAATGGATTCAGCTGTCAAACCTTGAATTAGAATTGGTTGCTAAAATATTTTAAAAGTTGGCAAAAAAAAAAAAAAATGAAGATGAAAGAGCAGTTTTCCATCGGGGTTGCTGAGATATGCACAAGAAAAAATCGGGCATAAAGCACAAGGAAAAAAACTGAGTGGATTGGTTGCTGCTCACTGAAGTTCCCCTGATCTCAAACATGGAGGTCATTACCAAGAAATGGCTTAGGTGTATGAATGAGAGCCAGATCCCTGTGGCTCCACTAGGTGAACCAGTGCATTAAGGCTAATTCAGCTGTTTTGGCCACTGGTTGTCGGGATTTTAAGCCACAAAACTTGAGAAAGGAACAGTGTGGCCACAAGCCTGAGCTTTAATGGAATATACATCTAACAGAAAAGTTGGAAATAACGAAAACTGAAGTCTTCCTCTACCTTCAGTTTAATCTGTGGATTTGTTCAAATACTAAAGATCCTCAGGTCCAGAATTCCAGCATCATTTATTCTTTTGAAATAAAAATTTTAAAACTTGATCCATTGTATCAGTACCTCACAATCAAAGTTGGCAAAAGATGGATGTGTGTCTAACAAGCAGTGTGCCCTTTGGAAGCTGAAATCCATCGAACGGAGCCGAAGTGAGCGTGAATATGTGACTATATCCTGGAAGCATTTTTATACCATCTTGAAATTTCAACAAAACTGGCTTTTGCCAGTGTATCCAGCTGTCTTTCAAGAATAAAAGTTGGGGTTTTCAAGGATCACCTCTTCTATATTTTAAATGGATTTTCAGTAGAAGTGATTTTACTAATCAAGTTAATGTCACCCCATTAAAGGTATTTGAATGTCATAGACTTAGGTAACTTTGAATCAAATGGGAGCGATGTTCTTTCCAAAGTTTTTCAGGTATGCTTTGTGCAACACCTCAACCAAGAGGCAAATAACCCCACTCCACAATCTTAGTGGTTGTTTTTTTTTAACTGCATGACTGCCCTTTATTTGAGCTGCCTTTTAATTTATTGCATACCCTTTTTATTATCTTATTTTGGTATTATTCAATATATACAATCTTTTTGTATTTATTAGGAAATAAGTAATATACAAAAAGGTCGTTTTCATGCATTGTGGCTGAGAGGGAGGGAAATAATTATGTATATAAAAATTAGGCTTTTTTAAAAATTAGACGGTGTTTCAGAATATTACTAATCTTAGGTTTAAAAAAAAAAAGTGGAAGAGCCACAAACATTGGTGCCCTTTTCAGACAATTTCTCTACTCTCATCGTCCACAGTAGAGTTTTTAAACAGATTTTTTTAAAGCTTTTCTTTTTTTAAAAAAATTTTCTCCGTTGCAAAGAATGTTTCCTAAATTGTATGGGAGCAATAGTATTTTCGATGTTTTAACGACATCTGTATACTTGTACTGTATTTTGTACTACAAGGCAGCTGTTTTCAATGATGTCCTGCTGTATTTACCTATGTGTTTTGAGTGTTTTATTTCTTTGCTGCGGAGAACAAATCCCTAAGTAGTTTTAGTAAAGGAGCTGAAAAACTAGCATTAGGTTTGCAGAAACTGTTTAGTTTCAAACTTTGAGGCAGCAATGAAAATTAAGGTTGCAGCTATTAGCTGACCGCTGTAACTTGTTTTGAAATCATGTACAATTCCTGTATAGACCAACTTGTTTTCTTGCTTCATTGGTGGTTCTGTTGCTCAGCTGCAGTGAGCCAGTTCAATTTTGCAAAGGTGCGGTACCTCTCCTTTTTAAGGGGTTGGTTTACTCTTTTTTTTCTGTTCTTTTGTTTGGCTGAATTGCAGTAAATAGCCTTGCTTTTCTATTCTGTAGAAATGACAGGGTCTTCACAGTCCTCACCAGTGGCTACTAAGCTATAATTAGCTGAATAGAAAGAATGTGGAAGTGGTCTGAGGCATATAGAATATATGCCAAGAACACTACCATATATGGGATCAGCTTTGGTTACCAGAGAAATTTTCTTAGTCATTAGACCATATAACAGTAATATATCATATGTAAATCTTTAGATAATCAATTTGAGAATCCTCCAAAAAAAAAAGGAGCAAAGAATGCATAAGCTATGTGTTGGAAAAGTAATTTATATTAAAATTTTTGACCTGCCTATGTAAGATTAAGTGGTAAATGTCATAGTGGTGGGTTTTAAGTCTTAACCAATCTCAAAGGTTTGTTTCTCCTGCAGGGTGGTTGATGGCCTCTCTTCCTACTGCAGGAAGGTTACAGAAGGATGTGGATTGATTGTAGCATTTCACTGATCCTCCTTCCAGTCACTAGGGACGATAGAAACTACACTTTTAATGTGTGGTTTGTTAAACAAGGCGGTGTTAATGGGCCATCTTTCAGAATTCGCTCATATAGATATTGCTTATTAAAGGAAATAGTCTATATTAAATCCAAGCAGAAAATGTTTTGTTTTCAACCACTGCTATACTCAGTGATTTAGGGCTTGTTTTTGATTTTGGCAAACATTGCAGCTAAGGACATGTTCAAAATAGTCATATTGCAAAGAAATAGGGAAGTAAAATTTATTTCCTAATAATTGGTAGAATGTTCATTTCTCAAACTGCTGCAGTTACAGAAGTGAAAAGCCCACAATTTTAGGAACAGAATTGAAAGAGCAAGAAATTCTGAGTATATCCCGTAAGTCCTTTCTGGTTTCTATTGTCCCTACCTGTCATGTAGAACTACAGTTCTCATCAGCAAAGGAAGTTGTCAGTGCATGTGCTGCACAGAACAAAGTGTAAATCTGGATGGCACCAAAAATCAAAGCGAATACCAAACCAAAACCCAGACACCCTATGTTACTGTGGGAGGCATGTAGGTGGTACAATGACTGTGGCTGTGAGACACACGGCTGCTGGTCAGGTCACTTTCCATAATATTTACTGCAAAATGATGGTGAGGCCTCCAGTCCGGGCAGCCGTTAACCTGCTTCCTTTGTAACCTTCCCGTCATTTTGCAATAAATTGCAGGTCTTTTAAGAGATTCAAGCTTCAGTTTTCTCAAAACAAAACAATTATCCTGTCTTATCTGAAAATGCAGGGTTGTGGGCAGAAGAGGCTGGTTATAGTAATGCCCTCATATTGAGTGGTCTGTAAACGGCTGCACACTTCAGGCACTCTAGTTGCTGAGGATGCTTTGTGAAATGTGACCTTGACTGGCTTTACAGGGGGGCATAGAATGATCTACACAAGGTGTTAAAAGGTGACAATTTGCTTGCGTCTACCTTGCCTTGAGGTGGATAAAATTAAGGAGACGCTTGAGTGTGTAAGCTATGCACATAAGTATTCTTCACTGTAAATTTTTTTTCATTTTAACCCAGTTATGGTACTTTGTCTAATGCACAACTGATCTCTCAGTAGATACCCATTTGAAAATAGTGTGGCCTTGATCGGTGAGAAGGGGAAGGAGAAAAGTGACTTTTGCTTATGTAAAAATGACTCATTTGCCAGGAGTCTTTCTGCAGTACTCTTAGTACCTAATGTGTTTGTGATTGGTCTCCTTTTTGATTGGGGAAATTTAATGGTTTTGATCTGGGAGTTATTAATTCATTTGAGTTGTCTTCTATTTTTAGGAAGTATCAGAATTGCTCTAATAAGTACAAAGTTGATTGCTTTGATGTCCAATCTCAGGTTTTAGAATATATATAGTGGTGTAAAATCCCACTGTTAACTCTTTAAAAACTATTTTAATTTAATACACCCTTAAAAGTCACATGCATAAGGCCTGTTCAGAGGGCAGAGCCTCCCATCTTTTTGCTCCTTTTCCATTTTGTACTTCACTTGAGAAAGTGTGGAGTGATTTTACATTGTATATTGCCATTTTAACCCTGACATATTTCTCAAGAAAAAGCACTTTTTGATCATGAAATACATGGACTCTTTGTGTGATGTGGGTCATGGTTTCTCAGGCTCCCCTAAGATAATCTGCTTATGAATATTATTCTCCGTATGAAGAGTAGAAATCTTTCCTAATGTTAGAAAGTTTGTATTATTGATCCAGAATGCATTTTGCTAGCTTCCAGTGGATGGGATAGTGAATAATGCTGCACTCACAGTTTATAAATCTTTTTCCCTTGAGCCTTACTTAAGGTAACTTTTTTTTTTTTGTCAGCAACAGCACTGAAGTTAGAGTAAATGGATGAGATTCAGTTTTCAGGGTTAGTTTTAGAGTATTGTAAAACAATTAGATGTCTTCATAAACAGTTATTGGTCCCATTGAATAGACTGAATAATGAGTATATAGATGGGGCTGGGAGCAGGGGGAGATAGTTTGTAGAATAGAAAAAATTCATTTTCCTTAAGAAAACATATAGACAAAAAAGAAAAAGTTCATGCCAATCCCCTGTTTGAAATTCCAAATATAAGATAGAAATGGCAAATTATACTTCATTTCCCATTTTTAATCTAAAAAAGTAGCCATTAATTTTTAAATGTTAGACCCCAGAAGTTTCAAGAGATAGGCTCTTGATACAGCTTTGTTACTTAAAGTCACCATTCCCAGCCCTCATTCTTTTTAATATATTTTTATTGATTTTTTTTACAGAGAGGAGGAGAGAGGGATAGAGAGCTAGAAACATTGATGAGAGAGAAACATTGACCAGGTGCCTCCTGCATACCCCCAACTGGGGATGTGCCCGCAACCAATGTACATGCCCTTGACTGGAATCAAACCTGGGACCTTTCAGTCCGCAGACCGACGCTCTACCACTGAGCCAAACCGGTCTCTGCCCAGCCCTCATTCTTAAAACTTAGTTTTATCAGACTCTTTATTTCAACAGATGTGGTCTAATTATCAGTTCCAAAAATTAAATTTGGAAAATGAAGAAAAATTACAAAATTGGATCATGAAGATTTATTTATTAAGTAATTTACAATTGTTATCTGTACCTCTGATCCAAGTAAGACCTTTATGAATGTATATTTCCTAATGAAATAGGAAATATGTCATCAGTGTAATCACCTTTATTCACAATCTTTTGCTTTTCATGTGAAAATCTAACTCATGCCTCTTGAATTAGACATTCCAATTAGCCATGTCAGAAAAGCAGCAAGAGAATATGACTATTTGTAATTAACAGATTTTGAATCTAGGAACAAATTTCATTTTCCCTATTACATGTAAAGTGTCTCACTGTCATTGATTAGAGAGGGCTGGTTATATCTTTGGTGTGATGAAATGTGGGCTCAGTATTGGAGAGAAAACGATAGACCTGTCCACATTGTTCACTAGCATGGTTTTTCCTATCCTCAGTCATTTCAGTGGCTAACTCAGGAAAACTGATTTAGACCAACCCTTATCCCTTAAAGGGAAACTTGTCCCCACTCTTTACCCTGTATCACAAGACCAGGTTGATTAAAAACAAACAAACAAGAAAAGACCCTTTATATTTGAAAATAGCAGAGCAAGTTGTATATTTCCCCATTTAAAATTGCTTTTTTGGGAACATATAACTGCGGGGAGAGTCCTAAGAAATTTGAAAAAATTCTGTCACTTTAGCACATGTGTAGGAATTTGGGAGTTTTGTTTCCAGCTCTTCAGATGAGATGTAAACCCTTTTCTCCCAGTCCACATGCCACCTTTGTTATAAAAAGCTCTGTGATTTCCTAGAAGTTAATAGATTGGGCAAGTGCAGAAACATTTTAAATCAGAGCAGGGTATGCTTATAAAGAGTGGGCAGTTTTGCATGTTATGGTAGCAGGCCAAGTATATTTTGAGGTTTTTCCCCA